AATATTGTTCCACTTGGATTGGTCACACAGTTCTCTCAATATTCTTTCATTTTTAGAGATCCTTTTTTCTCTCTGTGCCTCAGCTTCTTTGTATTCCTCTTCTCTAGTTTCTATTTCATTTATTGTCTCCTCCACTGTATCCAACCTGCTTTTAATACCCTCCATCGTGTTCTTTAACGATTGGATCTCTGACCTGAATTTATTCCTGAGTTCTTGGATGTCTTTCCGTACCTCCATTAGGATATTGATTATTTTTATTTTGAACTCCCTTTCAGAAAGAGTCACGAGGACCATATCATTTAAATCTTTCTCGGGAGTTGTATTAACAATTTTACTCTGGGCAAGGTTCCTTTGGCATTTCATGTTTGTATATGGCGCCCTCTAGTGTCCAGAAACTCTATTCTCGAGCTTCTCAGCCCCTGAAACAATGTTGGGGGTCACTGGGGAGTGGTACTGGGGGTAGGAAAGAGCTGTTCCCTGCATCCTGGCTGCTGTGCCTGTCTCTACTGCCTGAGCCGGTGGGCTGGTCACACAGGTATAAGTTTTTGTCCCAGAGCAGCCAGATATGGATCCCTGCTTTCCACAAGCAGCCAGAATCCCTGTCTCCCCAGGAACTCTGCCTGTATTAACTTTCCAACCCAGTAGTCATGCGAGTCTCATGAAAGCACCATGAAATGTAGGTTTGTGCTCCCAGCACAGGACTCCTGAGCTAGGTATTCAGCAGTCCCAGGCCTCCCACTCCCTCCCTGCTCCATTTGTCTTCCTCCCGCTGGTGAGCTGGGGTGGGGGAGGGCCTCGGGTCCCATGGAGTCACAGCTCTGGTAAGTTACCCCATTCGCTGAGGTATGCTCTTTTCTCCAGGTGTGTACAGTCTGATGTGTCCTCTTTACTGTTGCTCTCTCAGGATTAGTTGTGCCAATTAAATTTTCTAATTGTTTCCAGTTTTAGAAGGAAGCCTCTGTCTTTCCTCTCACACCGCCATCTTTAATCCCATCTGTCTTGGTTCATTCTTTTGGTAGGTTGAACCATGTGACATCACATCCTGAGTTTACTTCATTTAGGTGATACTCCAGGAACAACTGCTGTTGACCACTTGGTTCATACATACACTTCCTGAAATCTGTGTTTTTGCTCTTTTGTTTTATTCTTGGATTTTTTTTTAACTGTTCATTGTGTTCTAACATATCTGTAATCTTATTGGATTTTCTCCCTCTCCTATCTTCCCTGAACAAATTTATATAGTTTTCTTCCTTGAAACAATATTTGCCCTGATTAATAAATAAATCCTAAATTTGCATTTTTTGGATTATGAATTTGAGTTTCACAAGTGCTAATATATTACTGACTTCCTATAATTCAATAGGGATGTGGACATATTTATATATGTGAGCAAATTTAATTTGTTCAAATGTACTTAAAATCTCCAAGGAATTTTTTTTTTTCACACATAGAGGTTTAAACTTCATTCCAAAGTCTCCCGTTTTAGTAGTAACCACAGCAAAATTTCTCCAGCCCTGGTTTTCTATTTGCAAATCAGTACAGGTGTCTGATACCACTTTTAAAGGTCATGTAGATCACAATATGGAAGTATGATATACATGAAAGCAAATCTTGAGAATATGCACACGAACCAAACCAGATCTCACTCTAGCTTAGTCTGTACTTAGAAGTTTACCACATGAGTGAATAATTACGTATTTACTTTGCATCAGAGTACACTGGACTGTTTTTCCATTACTAAACCACTCAGTCACACAAACATCTTTAGAGCACATTGTAGGTATTCAAGTATTAAAAATTAAACAGACTCTTAAGTTTTAAGAAACTTTGGAAGAACAAATGTGGAAATTCTTTACATAAAATTTAAGCCAGAACTTAATTCTTATGTGCTTCAAGAAATTCTTTTAGAATTGAGGTATTATTTGAAGGTCAGTACACAGACATTTCAATTTGTACACAATTTTTAACGTACATACCAAATATCTAGAAAATCATGTAATTGTGATTTTTTTCTCAACAGTTATTCCAGTGACTTTTCAGCTTAAACTTTGGAGGCAAGTTTTCCTTAATAGGATATCAAGTACCGTATCTTCAAATATTGATATGCTGTTACATCAGTTTCACTAATTCACAACTTATCAGATACACTACATATGCAGATTTTTAATCTATCACAGCACATTAACAAAATTACTAGGAAAACTGGACTACCAAGACCAAAGATGTTACAGAGTGCACACAATTCTGACAGGAGAGCCAAGATCAAGGAGTGGTTTTCTTTAGGAAACGTACCAGAGACAACACAGGAGTAGAAGTAATTTAAAATGCTCAAGATATATTAAATGCACAACTGACTCCAAATTGCCATTTAGTTTATGTTTATATTACAGGATATACAACTACTCCCATTATGGAATGTTAAGCTGACACCCAAAACAATCAAAGCCTCCCATATTCAATACCCCACTATATTCTGGTTGTACCAAAAAATAAACAACCAGCAAATGATTTCACCTCTTAAAAAAAAGCATTTACACTTTAAAATTGGGATGAGGTGGGATCCCCTCCTTCTTAAAAATGTTTCTAGAGATACTAAAAAACTTGCCATTTACAAAATAGTTGATAAAAATATTCCTCTGGATTGTACAAGAAGGGAGACAGGGACCACTGATAAGACATGGTATATGATATTAATCAGACTTGGCTTCTTTCTCTCCTGCTTCATCAGAGGCTGGACTCTCATTTTTAGTTTCTCCGTTTTCTGCAGGTAAATCTTCTTTAGCTTCCTGGTTAGCCACTTCAGCTTGCTTTCCCTTTGCTCCCTTTTTCCCTTTTGTTTGCACTTTCTTGTCTGAAGATTTATCCTTTTCTGTTGCCTTTTTTGGCTTCGTTTCCACTTTTGCAGGAACAGGTTTAGCTGACAACCTGGCCGACCTCCTTTTGGGCTCCTCCTTCGCTGTGCCCTCGGTGGAGCTGACCTTCCTCTTGGGCATCGTGGAGGAGTGGCAGGCGCGTGCTGGTTGCCTGTGGGCCACGGTGCACCGAGAGCCTTCGCGAAGCTGGGCTGCCTGGCTGCTGCCACTTCTCCCGCTGCCCGAGCTGCTGCCTTCAAGGAATTTTAACGAAATAAATTCTCATTTGTATGAAACTAACATCTTCCTTTGATATATCTATCTACCTAAATAGATTGATGTATCTCTATCTTTTATCATCCATCATCTATTTATCAGTCAAAATGCCAAAGTAACTGGGTTAAATAAGGTAGAAACTCTTTTATTGATCATATTAAACAAGCAAGTTGAATGTTATCCTGGGCTGGTTTAGTGGTATGTAGTCAGAGATGCAGAATCTTCTATCTTGTTTTTTCCCTATCTGCAGCACATGACTTCCGCATTATTCTCCTAGAGGACTATTTCAGCTCAGGTATCAATCCATATTCTAGTAAGCAGGAGGAAGAATAGCCGGAAAGCACCTTAAGGAGCTTTCCTGCAGGCTCTCATACAGCACATTCACATGTCTCTCACTGGCCAGATCTTTAGTCCTTGACCACACCCTGCAACAGATAAAAGTACAAAAGATAGTATTAATTTTAAGTAACTGAAGACAATTTCTGAAAAAGAGATAACTGAAAAATGAATATTTGTACAAGTTGCTGGCTCTACCACATCTTAACTTACATAACTCTTGAGAAGTGAAAGAATTTATAGATATCCTCTATCCTATCCTGGTTGAGTGGTTTCTGTTTGTGTGTGTGTGTGTGTGTGTGTGTGTGGCCTTATTCAGACAACACAGAGTTATAAAGTTATAGAGCTGTAAGAACAGCATACAGAGCTACTTAAAAGAGATTTCTTAAAAGCACAAATGTAAAAAGACACAGGCAAGAAGTTTGGAACAGGAAGCTGAGTAATTCTATTTCTTTTTGTAATCAGTGCAGTTAGGAAATACATCTGATAGGCCCGTGCCATCTCCTAAAGAAGAATGACCTTGCAGTGACCAATGTGCTCTTCTGCCTTCCTTATTTCTATTCCCTTCTGCCTATAGAGGTTTCTAATTTTGTGCAGCATCTTGGAGCTGCTTTCTATCTGCTAGATTGGATGCTGCTGGATTCAAATCAATTTTTGCTCAAATAAATTCTTAGAATTTTATATTCAGTTTTTCTTTTAATGCCTGATCTCAAAACTACACTTTCTCAAACTTCCCAATCCCTTACTTTCAGACTCACCACTATGCTTCAACATCCTTCCTTATCCCCTTACTGATTTGATTCCTGCTGATGTCATTGGCATCAACCTCATTGTCCCTCCTCAGCAGTCTGTTGAGTCAAGTTGGCTTTGCAGGTCCTGTAGTGCACCCTGATTCTATCCAAGGGTCTTCACAGTTGCCATTCCCTCGCATGAAATATTCTCCTTCCCTCACCACTTACCACTTAATTCTTGCTTCTCCCAGGAGATAAAAGAGATTTACCCATCACTTCTCACAGAAATTATTCCTAATTTCCTGAATTCAGTCAGTTTCCATCGTGCATTCTGCAGCAACCAAGCTCCTTGCTACTTAAAGTGTAGTTTGTAGACAGCCTGCAGAAGCTATTACTTGAAAGTTTGCTGGAAATACAGAACGTCAAGGTTCTGCCCCACATTTACTGAACCAGAATCTGCATTTTAATAAGATCCCCAGGTCATTCAAATGCATGTGAGAAGCTCTGTCTTTTCAGAGAAACTCTCAATAGTTGTAGTGGTATGATTGGAATCCATAGTTTAATGAAGATCTTCCTCCTATGAAGAAGAGTAAGTGTCTTTTCTGCCATTTTGACTTCTTTATTCACAGTTCCTGGTATAGTGCCTCACCAGAATAAACACTAAAAAATAATTATTGAGCCATCAACAGATTGCATGTGCTTTGCATAGAGTAAAAAGCACTTACGAATCTAAATGATCAGAGCAGTCTAGTGAACAGGTATAACAGAACATACCAATAGTGATAAAATTGCTTAAATTTGCATTTTCCTCAAAGAATAAAATAGTATAATTATTATAGCACCTTACATAGAGCATAATATTTATACTTCATTCAATCCATGTAAAATATATATCTGAATTTTGACATGTATTACTTTTACAAGTTTGCAAAAATACCCAATAGATGTACTATCAAATGACTGTACTTTAAAAAATAGATGGGTTTTTGCCAGTGCACAAAAGATAATGTATCCATCAATATTCTTCGTTAGCTATGATGTTGAAATCAGATAACTGTTTTTTTGGCAATGCTATTTTTTTTCTGCCTCTCAGGTACATGTATAGTGTAGAGGTGGAAAACATTTCCCATCTTCCCTTGTAGGTTATTTGGTCTAATAATTAAATTGACATAAGACAGATTAACAAGAGAAAAAAATTAATTTCATATATACAGAAACCCATAAAGACATGAAGCTCAAAGAAGTGACCAAGGTAGGCAGCTTTTATATTTTTTAGACAAAGAAACAATACATTTGTGAAGAATTGACAAGACAAAGAAATTTGGGCTTGGGGTAGTAAATAGTAAGGAAAAAATAAGTTTCATTTATACAGCCTTCTCATTCTTGAACACCCTGTCATTGGCTATAAAGATGTCACCTCTAGCCCCTGGCACAGGGAGGGCACCTTTCACATGGGAGTTCCACTTCCTGCTCTCAAGGGAACAAAAGGGGATCAGAATGTCCTTGTGCCAGTTTCTCAAGTAACTTTAAGATGATCAATATGCTAAAATTGCATGTTTTTTGAGTGTTATATTCTGCTCCCCTTCAAACAGTTAAGACTTAAGTCTGTACTTGGGAGGCTAAAGTCCTACTAAAAACACTATAAGAGAATATAAGTTCATTTTTTCCATCAATTATAATGGAAACTACTTGCTCCTAATTGCTACTATCACCATGAAGCATAAAATTAAATAATAACTATTTCAGATTCTGTTAGAAGCATATCTAGTGGACTAAAACAAGACGAATTTCCTCTCTAAGGTTATTGTTGTTATGAAATCAAAATCTTTTGAATAGTATGAAAGTTGGGGTTAGTATTGCTTTCATTTCTCTACAGGTGGGTATGATATGGATTTCAGAATGTTCTGAGTCAGTGACACTTACGTATGCAAACAACTTTGATCTAATAAGGCACTGTCCTTGCATGAGCTCAGAGTCTGTCTTTAATTTTGTTTTTCTGAGCAAATCTTGGTGATTACCTCTTTCACCTTCTACTTAGTTTCTTATGACTATGTGGTTCAGTCCCTGAATCACTGGCCTGGATCCTAGATTAGAATCCTGCCATTACCTGCATGACCGAAAAGTCTTTTTAGTTTATAAAAGAAGCCCAGAAATGAGGAGTCCTTGGTGAAATATGTTTACTAACTGCAATTTCTGATAAATTGCAGTCAGTAAACATATTTCACCAAGGACTAAATTGCAGTCAGTAAACATATTTCACCAAGGACTCCTCATTTCTGGGCTTCTTTTATTCTGATAAATTGCAGTCTGTAGAATCATTCTCTTTCAAGCTTCCATAGGTCTCCTTCAGCTTTCAGAGTTCCTGACTGAGAAATGAGAGAAATGCTTCTTTTACAATAGAAAATGAGGGGCCAAGAGACCCAGCTATTAGGAATGTAGGTATTAATTTTCTAAGTCAGTACTGAGATCTCAAGGGGAGTAAATGTGAAGTTTGGGATTCCCTTGCTAACTGGAAATCTTGCTTTTCTTTTAAAAATGGAATCTTCTATGTCCACATGTTTATGTCATCTTTCTATCATAGTTTAAGTGGAATCATCACACAATATGCTTTTAGTTGTCATTCATATATTATATTCTCAAAATAATGTGAAGCATGCTGTACAATATTGGAGGTTAGGGATTTCTCAGCCATTTCATACACTATCTTATGCTACTTTATGTCATTTTCCTCTCATGGGCAGCCATCCTAATATTGAATTTATCATCTCCAGGGGTGAATTGTTATTTCCATTCATTTATTTACTTGTGTGTTGCTTGAAATACTTAATCTGCCTTGATAATATATGTAAAATTGAAATATTGGTGTGAATTATTTTAGTAGATTTGAAACATAAAGGAATTACCTGTAGAATAAAAAAGTATATATAATTGCATCAAAGGTATGACTCCCCACATTTTAGCAAGCCCACTTGTCAGTTCCTTTCATTGTGCCCTTGATCTGAAAAGTTGTTCTGCCATATGAAACTAGAAAAATATGGCTACTCCAACCATCAGACAGATCGATTTTGCTGAAGTGGAATGCTTGTTGTCTTGCTTGACATGTACTGCTGCAATATAGAGATGATTTTTAATGGTCAACTGAAACCCTTAGGAGACCAGTAGTGGAAGCCCAGCTCACACTGAACCGATGTGGTGAGTGGCTTCAATCAGTTGAGTTCTGCTATTGAAACACTCCTTTTAAAATGATCTAAATAAGATCTGCATTTTATTAGAAGAAGAAATCATTTATTTTTATAAATAGGACACCTAAAAATGCATCGACTTTGGCAGCAATGCTGTGCTCAGGTGTAATAAAATTGATGAGCCCATATAATAAAATTTATGGAACCAGAGTGAATTCAATTTATTTGAATATGCTCAGTTATGTTTTTGTTTATTCCCATAGCAGATGTTTAATTTACAAACCAGGCAATTACGACAGCTCTTCCAAACAAATAAGAGCAGATTAGTCAAACGTTCACATCAATTTTTATGTTTATCATTAGTTTTATGAGGTGTCATGAATATTCAGAGGTAAGAAAAACTATCATTATGGTACCTGGAAAACCTCAAAATGATGTTTTGCATCTCTAAATGCTTTTTCCCCTTTTTGATAAAGCTATTAATGTGTGTAGTCTCTTATTACAATTAGGGCTCACAGGCTGCAATGGAAAAAGCACTCCTCTCCAGAGATCTTGCACATTTTAATCAATGGGCTAATACCATTTCTGTGGAAAGTATGTGAAAATGCATAGGTGA